CATGTGTCATGTGCATATTCTTCGGTATCAAAAAATTATAATGTATGCCGAGTAATTTTTTGGTAGCAGGTTCTCATTCAACTCATTCAAATTATTTTCTGAAAATACAACATAACACTGAGATTGCACTTTAAGAGAAATATGTATGAACTAAATATTTCAACTATAAGTCTTCTTCAGGAAAAGAAGTCTTATAAGACTCATTGTCATGTTGAGTCAATACATCTTGCTACACAGAAGACATTCATTCTCATGGCTACCAAATTTAGCAAGAGGAACTCTAAGTGATATTCTATAGTTAGATCAGTCAAAGATTTTGAGAGAGCATACATGATCACAGAAATATCATATTCTTTGTAATATTAGATAAAAAAGATTCAATAACCATGGCTTGTTTGAATAGGCATGCGATATCTTATGATAAGTTTTACTATCATGTTTAATCTTTTGTTTGCAAATTTATTTGTTGTAATAGGGGAGAAAGGGCAAGACAAAAAAACAAAAAGGGGGAAGAGGAAGAGATAAAAACTGAAACTATATCACTGTGAAAACAATTAAACTATCAGAAAAAATAATGAATTACATGACTAATACTGAACTATAACAGTTGTAATAATTTACAACCACATACACACAAGGAGGTATGAACCGTGGCGCTTTGCCCTTACACACCCACAAATCTGTTATGGACATAATTTTGTCACTTATTTTCTTCATTTTCTGATATTTTTCTTTCCCTGCACAAATTATTTCATATACCTTTATAGTTTTCTTCTCATTATGACATTGTCCTTTGATTTTCCCTGTCATAGTGCAATTATATAAATATATAACAATGAAGTATTACAAAAAAATATATATAAATGAAACAAATTACATGAAAGAAATAACAAGAAATAACAATTAGAGAATATAATAGACTGTAACTGAATATTTGCTTAAATTTAACTTTGTAACTTTAAATGTCGCAGTCACAATAAAAGGAAAATATCAATAAAAACATCTCCCGAAATATCTACTTGGTTTTATTCCATCATGACTGTGTACGTGTTTCACCTCTGGTTATTCTGCGCTCGACAACCGTTATTCGCATTTCTTTCGCTCTCTACATTAACCTCCGTAATGTGTGAACGATCGAATTCTTGATGTTCTTTCGCGTTCCAAGACCCTCCGCCCCGACATCGGAATGCAAGTGCCAGAGACCAAAGGCGTAAAATTCAAGCTGTTGATCTAATGACGTACTTGCATCGTACGTGACACTCGCCTACCAGGAGCCCCGTCAGTAGGAAACGGTAGATACACACACACTCCAGGACTAACAGCCGGATTTTTCACACTCACCACCCAGAGTCTTTTCATCGCTGCTACGACGCGGCGTGGCCATCGCCAGTGATTCCGAGGGGCGAGACAAAAGGAATTCTCGTGCGTGCACCTGTGGCGTCCTGCTCGCGTCGCTCCACGATGCTTTGTTTTGGTTCGGGCGAAACGTCAATGGGCGTGACGTCACGGCCAAGCGAGAACCTATCGTGCGCTCCCTCCTCCCTCGGGGAGCTTCTCCTGGTCTTTTGATAGGCTCTCTAAATTTTAATTCAAAACTATTGTTGGCCAAAGAAGTAAACCCGGAAATAAGTATTATTTTTCTATCGTAAGAAGTATAAAACGAAATTAATTTATTTCCCAAATGATCTGCGTTTTACAGGAAGTAATTGATTATATGGGTTAGTTCTCGACCCACCTATTTGTACCAATATTTGCATTCCGTTTGTTTGTGCTTACTTGGCCTCATCGGTCGATCGAGGCCTAATTATGTCCTATAAAAGTGTCATTCCATTCTTTTGTTTTTTTCCGTTATGTACAATTAGAATATAGTACGCATTCTGGTTTGTCGATTTCCGTAGTTTAACGGCCTGTAATTTGAATGAGGAAATACAAATTGCGTTAAGAAGTCATGGCAACAATTTCTCCGAGTTTAATGACCAACGCAACAAAAAATATAAACAATATTGAGAATTACGCTTATGCCAGTAACAATCAGAATAAAATTAAAAATGCCAATATGGTAATCACTGAATAACTATTTTGTTAAGGGTGCCAGTGTTGATACGTATGTCTGCACATTCATCTCCTTTATAAACTTTCTTAATTCATTGTCTCTGTCATCACTGTCACTTTCGATTTGGTGAAGATAAGAATTGCAATATACTCAGACTTTCAAATTTCTGCAATAATTTCTGCACTGTAAGCAAAAACTGCAGGTGAGAGTAATTTGGCATAAATGCATTAAGTTTTAAGTTTTGAATAAGAATTGTATTAAAAATCCCAATCATATAATTATACACCTAACATTGGTGTAAACCTGTCAGCATATACATAATATATTCACACATACATGATAAACTTGGAAGGTTTTATTTTTATAAATACAGCAAAGTTATTAAATGTTTTATTGATAGACAAAAGTACATTAGTTGCATTACAAAAGAGTTACCAGAGTAGTACAGTTACATATTTTCTCAGCAATAGCGTTGTCATTACCGATAAATTATATATTTCATGCATATATAGAAAGCTTATCAGTTTATCTCCCTTTGCTTGTTTTCATCAATAGATCAAATGAAATAATAAAATCAGCATTTTATAATGCTAGATGAATAGTAATTATAATGAGTATATGTGAAACTAAAACTACAAGAAAAGATATCAATACATAAAAAAAGATAAAAATCTGACACAACTGGGGAATAAAATTCAAGATAAAAAGATAAAAATCTGACACACTTTGGGGAATAAAATTCAAATCTGATATAATAGACAGCAATAAATTCTCTAATGCCCAGCACAGGCAGTAGTGGTAAAGCAGAACATATATTATAACAAGTGTTAGAATTCAGGGTGTGATTTTCTGGGGTTGGAGAGAAGCTGTCAAAGTCAACACTTACAAAAACTAAAAACTAATTCTTGCATAAACCACTGGCACATTCTTTGATTCACAGTAAAAAATAGAGGATATAAACTTCACTACAATCATCAAGATTGTACATAACATTAAAGAAGTTCAGGAGAATGGTAAAACTCCTGTCCATCACAACCACTAGCTACTTCCAAAAGGATCGTCCTCTCATGCAGTCACATGCACAAGTAACCTCCTATTTAAGAACTGTGAAATTTTCTCCTTGGAGAGATATATACATATAGAATAAAAATCTTCAAAATTTCCTCTTTTTCAAGAAAACAGCTACTCTGTATAAAATAACTAAAAATATAATATTAAAAATGAATAAGTGAGCTTTTTGCCCTGACCAGCCCACATACCAGCAACTTCCTCAACTTCAGAACTTCACTTATTATAGAATGTAAAGCTCAACAGAACTTTGTACACAATAAAGTATTGCCAATTAGCTTTGGTAAACCTAAACCCTGCATAGATATAATGCTTCTATATGAAGTATGTTTTAAAGAAAATATAGGACTACATGCAAAGCAAAATAATATATATAATAATAATCTCCTTCATAGAAATAACGCTATAAAATCTTATTGACTTCATGAAACACTGACCACGGAAAGATAATGGGCCACACACGATGGATCAAGTCGGGGCTGAAGTCACTCTAACTCCAGCATAACTCAAGACAACCAACTCTTATTCATATATGAGGTAAAATTTTGCTAAAGCTATAGGCTGCATAAACAACCTTTCCTGTCTAGATTCAAACACTGAACACTAAAATCAAAAGCCAATATATTTAAACACTCCTGTTTCAAATACACAAGCATTTGCATTTAACTCCCATGGCACACTTCAAAGTTAGACATGACTCAGCAGCCTGACCCTTCCACCAGTGCAGCTAAATGAATGTATCACAAGCTAAGGAGGTTACAAAAGAAAATATTGGCCATAGCCAAATACAAGCAAAGGAGCTCTGGTTGGGAATCACGACAGCAGGTACCCAAGTCCCTCTCCCTGGGGGCAGCATCAACTCTTACCTAAAGATAATGAAACTTTATTTCTACTACAGCAAGTCATGAATGGAGCCATGAATACTGGAAATATAGCATCACTGTAATAATCAACATTAGAAAAGGGCCAGTGATATGAATATGTTGATGCGGCCATAAGGCCGAGGATGATATGCCACAACCTACGCATCTCAACCTTTCCGGCTGGTTTGGGCCTATAACTGCTGTCCAGCCCCCTTCCAGAGACAACTTTGACGCTTAGGGAAGAACTCCTCAAGGTAGGCCAACTCTTCCCCTACCACAGCAAGAGGCTCCACGCCAGGAGACAAGTACCTAATTTATCACTTAATATTACACTAGCAAAATGTTAACTGGAATTGTAAAATGGCAACTTGTTAAAAGTACAATTATCATATATCCAAATTGATATAGATCTATTATTTCTGCAAAAAATCTATAGAGCTAAAGCATTCATTTAAATGGTAAAAAGGCAATTATCCAGATCTTACAATACAAAATAAATTGGGCACTTATTCCTCAGTGTATCTGATAGGAGCTGCAGCAAGGATCAAGTCACATACACCATCTGAGGAGACAATATTGTGTTTACAGTTTTCCTGAATTATCTGTGGGGCCTGAACAAAGCAATGAGACATTGAGGGATAAACTCGGTTTTGTGCCTACACACCACATTTGGCACAAGATACAGTTCACGAGGGGGAAGACACACCTCCCCATAACCTAAGGCTGATTCACGCAAGGGGGGGGGGGGGGGACGCAGTGGAGAAGGTGATCGAGCCTGGACTGCATGGATAGCATGTGTGATGGCTAACTATGTATGACCCGTACAGAAATTCTCTTAGAAGCAAGGACTGCAGGTGTGTGAGCACTGTCTTCTCCAGTAAAGATGGCTACTTTTTCTTTATCATTATACACCACATGTTAAACTCTATATGAAAACTATGAATTATTTCTCCTCACAGTGCAGAATCAGGCACCTTCATCCTACGTCTCCATCACTTCTAATATCTGTTCCTGTCTTACCATAACCCTACAACAACAAAAACATATGTCTGCCAGAAATGTACAGATTTTACCTATTCTACAAGCATTTTGTGAGACCATGATGGCCTAAAATTTGCAGTTTAATGTTGCATTAATACTTCAGATGTCCAGTACTCAAAATCTGGCAACAACTTAAAAAGTAAATTGCTGTTGTAAGTTACTGGCATGACAAGACTATGTATGGCAACAGTATGATGCACCGTATACGTTATCTAGACCGTTTGATTCAGTCTTCAAATTATTACTTAATGATACTCTGTTTAAAGTTATAAAACCTTCAGCATTGGTGTGTTACCTGCCAAAGACTACATGTGGTAATACTAAAAACCAGATCTTGTATCCATAGTTTTAAGCTAAAGTTGTCATCAGGTAATAAAGTAAATTGTCATGTATGGCAGACCGGACGACCCCACAGTCAATTTCTCCCCTAAAAGAAACTACTCGCAATAAACACACACAGCAGACACACTCAAATAATCTCAGAGGCCGTTATCCATCTCTACAAACACAGGCATGCAAAACTCTTCAAACAAGAAGACCTCACAGGAGGCAGCCACTATATAGGGTTGAATAATATATATGAATGCTATCAGTTCTACACGCTATAATCTTACTAATAATATAAAGTAATAAAGAGGCATTGCATATGCAGTTTCATTTTAGATTCTAAAGTCTTACAGGTACTAGGGGGTTCTAAATTTTTGCACAGTAAAAGTCAAAACCTTAAATTATGAAAAATTTGTCCAAGTATAGACAGAGGAAAGACACTTAGAAGGTGAAACCAGCAAATTGCATCCAAAAATGTGTCAGGGTCAGTTGTTCAGAGCTTGGGGGACCCGTCTCTCACCATCAACTCTGCCTCAAAGTCGCACGTGGCCCCACGTGCTACAACACCGCCTGCAGCTCTCAAACACTAAATTATTCGCTTCTTGAAAGTCCTGGATATGTTGACTTGTGTTGAAAAATGGAGGTACAATGATGAAGCCAATACATGAGATTATGATAGCCATTATGAATATAAGCAGTGTTTTATATGAGATATGATAACAGCTTATCCACCTAGAGGAATGATCTATAGATAAATTCACCCTCAACAAATGCTGGAGGGAACACATCCCCGGTCTAAAAGGCAAAAATAATTGCTTCTTCTACTGTATTTAACTACTGTTTTCCCTGAGGGAAAATATGTTTCTTCAGATGACTACATTTCCTAGTGAGGTGGTAATATCATGAGGAAGCCCGGTGTATCTGTGTCACAATTTTCTAATGGTAGAGTCACCCTGGTGGAAAGCCTAGGTATTCTGTTAAAAGTACATGATATATGGAATGACATCTATTTAGTTCTCAATCTGAATGATATATCTCCATTACAAGGAGCCAAAAACTGGATATAATAATGGCGTCTGATACACCTCGAGAAGTAAGGCCAAAGACTAGACATCCAGTTTATCTTACCTACTCTATATAAAGACCTCTTGGCACTGACCTGGTAACAGAATATTTATAATGTTCTTAGTAAAGCCTTTGTCTTAACTTTAGTCTCACTTCTCAGTCTCTGGTGAACAACGCAATCTTGTGTTTTACTGACTGTAAGACGGAGTGTCATCGAGGATCAACCTTCCCTGAGTAGCAGTGGGTAGCCGAGCCCTAGTGAGCCTCCCCTATAAGGATGCATTGACTTTGTCACAAACCTTACATGAAATGGGGCATGGGAGCACTGACCCATACTCCTCATGCATTCATTCTGCTGATCGTCCAAGCTTAATATCTGACTAAAATCTTAACTAACGACCACCGATATATCTAATTAATATATGGCAATATATGGTCACTCTACTTCTCACTTTGGATTTCTTGGTTAAAATTTGACATACTATTGCCTACCATCCTTGCAGCTGGAGGTTTTTACTCCAGCCCCTGACATGAAGCTCTGAGTGTGTGTTATCAAAACACAGCACACACAACTTTCAACCATTCATTCTAAAGCCATCAGATCAAATACCCTAAAGCTAATATGACCACAACCTGAAACACAAGATGGCTACATGACTTGAGTTATGCCTCATATACTGCAAGTTGGAAGAAAGCGTAATACGTGGCCATCTGGCATCCAGATGGATGGTCATGGTAAAACTTCAGGGTCTATTAAAGCTGTTACCAGGAGCTAGGACAGCCATCCTGTTCACTAACGCTGAAGGGTCTCTCACAACAAACTATTTACACCCCGTCTCGCTTGTTCGACCTTTTCCCCATTGAGAAAAATAGAAAGAGGAACATTTCACTTACAATCTCCTAAAATATGTGGGCAAGAACAATGGCAACTTACAAATAATGTACTGAAATAGTTTTGGTACCTTGTGAGAAACACTTCGTTACATATATCCTTAACAATTTAGCGTGTGAATAAGTACAAAAGTGAAATACTCTGCAGTTTTCCCCTTAAAGGCATAAGGGATTTTAGTCTTTGATTATTTCTTGCATTCAGTAAAATGTGTCCAAACATCTCCAGAGGTGATATAATCACTCCTGTCTCTCTTGAAAGGAGTAAGTCGAACAAACGAGGATCGAGTTCTGACCTCTGCTGCAGCCACCTGTCCTCCTGACCACCACAACCAGAAACTCCACAACACAATGCTGGTGAATTTATATATTTATATGCGTATTTTAAAATGTGCTGTGATTTGCCAACTTATTTTTCTTCTGAGGCCTGTAAAAGCCAGTAAACTGCTTCTGTACCAACCCTGTCATTCTCACTATGGTATCATCTCAACTGATATATGGGAAAGCTTAAGAGACTTTTCAGGCTGGGTTTTACAGTGCTCACTGGAAGTTAAGCTTGTCACTTCACACTTACAGATGCTTCATGTGACTCTCCAGAGAGAGCTTTTGATTCTGCTTCAACAGGACCCGTGGGGAGATCCATCTTCTCGACTCCCCTGTTTCCATTTTCCCCATGTGCCTTCTCAAGCCTAATGCTTTCTTTTGCTGCTATTTCCTTTTGCCATTCAGGATCGTCACCATAGGGAGAGTCTGGATGATTATAGCCAGGTGAATATGGCTCCTCCTTGGGTTCTTGTAACTGTACAATAGGTTCTAGATTAGGGCCATCTTCGGTTCCCTCATCACCATCTTCAGTGCCATCGTCTAAGTCATCATCCTCATCATCATCCTCAAATTCATCCTCATTTTCTCCCTCTGCTGGCTCTTCTGATTGCATCAAATATTTAGACTCCCTCAAAATCTTGATTTTCAAGCTCTTAATGGGGTGGCGTTTCTTTTTGTGTGTTTTAAGGCATCTTTTTAATCTAAACATGGCTGGACATTCATCGCATTTGATTCTACGCCTACCTTGTCCTGGCCCTTTCCCGTGCATCCTTTGGATGTGGGTCTTAAGGTTGGATCGCTGGGCAAATCCCGCTCCACAATGATCACATTCAAATGGTCTTTCCCCCGAGTGCAGTTTCATATGAATTCGTAAGTTGCTCATCATGGTGAATTTTGCCCCACATTCCAAGCAGTTATATGGTTTGATTGCACTTGGATTTTTTTTCCTTCCTCTCCTTGTTGGGGTTCCAGCTTCTCCGCTATGTACTCTGTTTTTATGGGCTTTAAGATTTGACTTTTGTGTGAAAGCTTTATCACACTGATCACATTTATGTGGCCTTTCACCAGTGTGAGTTACAGCATGAGTTTTGAGGTTGGCAATCTGTCTAAAAGCTGCATCACATTGGTCACACTTGTATGGCCTTTCATCTGAATGAATTTTCTGATGGGTTTTAAGTGTTGACAACTGAGTAAAGCAAGATTTGCACTCTGGGCATTGGTATGGCCTCTCACCTGTGTGAATACGCCTATGAGCCCGAAGATTACCTTGTTGGGTAAATTTTGAGCCACAAACCTCACATGTAAAGGGCTTCTCTCCTGTGTGCCTCCACATGTGGTTCTTCAACTGAGTGCTGTTCTTAAAGACCTTTTCACATTCATTGCACTTATGAATGACAGGTATACGTGGAGGTTTAGGTTCTTTAGGTTTTTTGGGTTTTGGTGGCTTTGGAGCAGAGCCCATCTGTGCCTCATGGACAAGCATTGAAGTAGCATAATCCTGGTTATAAGGCTTAATATCATGGTATGGCTTGACTTCCATATCATCATCCAATCCAAGATTCTCTCGATGGTCTCGGTCCTGGCTATCACTTATGTACTGGGAAAATTGGGTGTTGTATGGGCTGCTATAAAACTGATGTTGTGGAGGAAGTGGTGCACTTGAAGGATCAGGCATGGGTGTTACAGATGAAGCAGGAGTTGGGGGGCCAAGGCTGCTATGGCTCAAGTCTCCACGGTACATTGATTCTGAGTAGCGTGGGGACTCCACTCGCATTGATTCCCTCATAGGGTGTGGAGATTCTGTCATCATTCGATGAGAGGGAGGATCATAGTGTGAACGCATAGGAGGAATGGATGACTCTGGAGGTGGTGGGGGGTTCATTCTTACCCCTGTGGAATTGCTTCCACTGTCATGATTTATTCGCAGATTTTCAGGCATTAGCTGATGAGATGGTTCAGTCACACAAAGGTTTTCTGGGACCATTCGTGACGCATCAGAGGTCACCCTGAGATTCTCTGGCATCATGGGATGGGGCTGTGGGGTCTCTGCACCAACACGAAGGTGATGTGATGTTTCACCTACTCTAACATGCTGACTTGTTTCTACACCAGAGCGGTGATGCTGCTGTATATCAGAACCTACTCGTAGATGCTGAGGAGTGTCTCCACTTAGCCTCATGTGTTGAGAGTTTTCTTCTATACGCATGTGTTGTGGAGTTTCTGCCCCTACTCGCAAGTGCTGTGAATGCTGGTGTTGTGGAGTCTCAGCTCCAACTCGCAGATGTTGAGGAGTCTCGGCCCCTACACGTAGGTGCTGTGGTGTTTCTGCTCCCACACGGATATGCTGCGGAGTTTCAGCCCCTACGCGTACATGTTGTGGGGTTTCTGCTCCAACTCGAATGTGCTGAGGAGTTTCATTTCCGACTCTTAAGTTTTCTGGCATCATCCTTTGATTACTTAGGTCTGTGCCATATCTCAGTGGGTCAGATCGAAGACTCTCACTTGAGGGATAACGCAAATTTTCAGGCATCATTCTTTGGTCAGTTGGGGACCGCAGATTTTCTTGCATGGTCCTTTGGGAAGGGCTAAAGTATTCTCTGAGACTCTCCTGTACCATGCGCTGTGCATCTGCATGACTTCTGATTGATTCCTGGACTGTACGCTGTGGTGGTTCTGAAGGAGGCCTCAGAGGGTCAGACATTATGCTACGATATGAAGTCTCAGGACTTCGAACCGATTCAGACACCTGAGGTCGTAGAGCCTCTGCTACAAGCCGTTGTGGATCTGACTGAAGACGTTGTAGATCAGACACAAGACGTTGCGCATTGGAGGCTAATTGTTGTAAATTTGATTCTTGCGCTCTCTGCAGGTCAACAGGGTTTCTATAGGGATCACTTGGGGGTCGCTGGTAAGGGTCAAGACTCTGCTCTTCTGTGCGCTGCAGCTCAGATCTTATGCGTTGCAGATCTGATGGCAGACGCTGTGGCTCACTAGACTGTCTGTATGGGTCAGCAGACATTCTCTGACTATCAATTGCATAGCGACTTTGATCAAGTGTCTCGGCAGCCAATCTATATGATTCTGGAAGATACCTATGAGCTTCTGGTGGTGCTCCAGTCATAAACTTTGAGCCTGGGAACATCATGTTATGTCCTAATGCCATGAGCTGCGCACTCTGGGACATAAGGCTTGTACTAGGGCTGGAGATGCTTGGGTAGGATGCTGGTAAATTCTGTTGTCCTGGGACTGCAGATGGATGTGGGAACATAGCTCTTCCATCAAGAGCACTGGCTGGCGTACTGCTGCGGCTTCCACTCTGCATCTGTTGGGAGGAAATGAAAATTGTCAATGACCTTCTAAATATAAGATACTCAACATCATCTTTTCTATTTTTATCTAAGAATACAAATACATTTCTTCCTGATAATTGCAAACGTTGGTTATTGCTGACATCTACAGATGTGTTACTTCTGATTTCATCATCCCAAGGTAATGTCAAGCATATTCTGAATTCATTTTTTGTGTGTGTGATAAATTGTACTGGCTAATTTCACCTAGAACTTTATCCCGAAAAAGTAATACAAATTCCTCCAGCTAATCAGCACTTGAAGCTTTATTGAACTTATTACAAAGTTTCAATGCAATCCTGACTATAGTGCATTTTAGCACAGAGCCAATAACTTAATAGCATTATTAATGAAAATAATATAATAATTATAATGATAATAATAACAACCATAACCATAATAATAAAGATGAGAAAAATAACAATGATCATAGAAATAATAATGAAACTCCTTGATATTACTACTACTAATAATAATATCAATAATGATAATATTACTGCTGCTGCTACTAATAATTTAAAAAATTATTAGAATAATGATGATGAGAGAAAAATACTATTACTATTATCAATTAATCTAACAAGAATAACAAATAATAACAATGGTAATTACAATAGTAATCAAAATAATCAATAAGAAAAAGAAAATAATAATAACACCAATAACAATAATGGTAGCTTAAACAGTAATCATAGCAATACTGACAATAAAAAACTATGAAAAAACTCATGTTGCATGGGAAAATATGAGACATTTACGGGTTACCAAACTGATCAACACACAAGGTCAAATCTGTTTGCCAAACTTGGTATTTGACAAATTAATCTGATCATGTATTGCTTACTCTCTTTAAATTAATTATGAATTCAATTAATCAATACTAAGTCTATGATATATCTTGACTGTGTTGATGTGTGTTGGTTTAGTTCTTAATTACTCAGTTCCAGCCTAACTGTATGGCAGCAAAGATTTCACTGATCATAGGACATAGTATTGAGTAAGAAAAGAAAATAATAATAATAATAAGAGAAAAAAAAAAAGAAAAAAGGGGAAAAAAAAGGGAGGGGGGGATAAGAGAAAAATTCCAGTATGCATTCCTAACAAAAATTATCAACTTCCATACATTTAAGTCATTCACGTTGAGGTGACACCATTTCACATCATGGTAGACTATCCTTCAAGCCGTGACGATGTCCAATCACGTCATTGGTGGTCAAGTCTGCTCAAAGTGTGCTTACTGAACAATTATTCACTTGTTTGGCTTTGGCTATGGTCACTGAACAGAAACAGCCCCTCAAAAGTATGCTTAAAGCCTCTGTTTAACCAGTTTACCTAAACAATCATTTATGGAGCAACAAGTGTAAAGTATGACATTAGGTTTCCTGTGCTTTTAATCATACCCTCACGCAGCCTCCTCCATGTGCAGCCCTGCACTTGGTTCATTATAAACCCAGAGCTTTTCTCATGCATGGGTTAAGTTCAACATATCAGTGACCAACTGTATGCCTGTTAAATGTTTCAGTGTACAAGACAGTGAAATTATGGCAGGGCTGTAACAACTATAGGAAGTTCCTTGGCCAGGAGCACAGATTTATCTATCAATTATTTTTTTCCAAGCTATCATCTCCTCTTTTGTGGAAATATAAATATGTATGTATGTATGTATGCATATATATCATATATAAGGTATGTATACACATATATGTGTATACACACACACAACACACACACACACAAACACACACACACAATATATATAAAACAACTAATTTATAATAT